ACTGCCAGAATTGCTGGCCTTTGATCATTGGTAATGGCCAGAGTAAGCACCCCCAGATAATTCCATCCTGGCGCCAAGCAACTAAAAAATCTGTGGAGCCCACACCTGCCCAAATAATGTATAAACTAATGTTTATCTTGACCTCTGTAAACCACTTAAGTGGCAATCGGAATGACAGAAGTCCCCTGGCCCTTGGAATGTCTGGAGCCCCCTCAACCTTGTCTCAGCCTAGGAGGTGATTGACAGCTTTCATCCCCATCTCCACTCTTCACCCCCACTCCCAAGGTGGTTTTGCAGGTATAAAAAGGTCTTGTCTCTCTTCTTTTGGGGCCACGGGTTGGAGAGACGTGAGTCCTCCGTGGTCGCCGGCAATAAACCCTGCAATTTGGCATACATTTGTTCTGGTGTTGACTTTCTGTGCTCGGTTTGATATAACACTAGCACCACTTGAAAATAAGTTTGGATTCCGTAGAAGAAAGACAATCATACACATTTTGTTCAAATAAATTCAAAACTCAAGAAACAATATCCACATTCCAGCTTAATGTAAGTCTCAATCAAATCACATCTCCAAGAACTTGGTAAGATCTTCCTTCATCCCTCCCTCTCTATCTTCTCCTATGTGTTTGTGTGTATATGAAATAAAATACAAAGAATAGAACGTTTGAAGGTTCACCAAACTTAACTTTTCAAGAGTGGGAATATCAATTCTGGACCTTCCAAGGAGAATGAAAATAACAAGCTATTGGGCAACAACTATGATCAGAAAGTTTAAAAAATCTGTAAGTTATTAACCTAGCAATCTTTCCCCCTATACCCCTTATATGAGTCAAAGTCATTTCCTTTGTTACAGAATTCTCCACAATGTCTTTTTGTACATTAGCAAATCAGCATAATTTCGTAAGTATCATTCACCATTTGGAGAACACCATTTAGTCTTAGCAAAGCTGCTTTATATATTACTGACAATGAGATGATGCAAACTAGGTAGGGGAGATGAGATTGCCACTTTATTAGATTGTTTTTCAATAGTTTCAGTAAACAAGGTTGAAAAATTGCTCATCTCCCGTACTTTAGTTAGAAGTTTAATAATTGTCAGAAAATACCATAAACAAGACTTGGTAAAAATAATAAAGTAAATAAATTAAAAAATAATAATTGTGGTAATTTAGAAAGCAGTAAGAAGCAGCTTTGGCATCATTTTCATAAACTGGTATTTGGCAATATGAAGATGACAAAAAGAATCAGAGCAACAGTGATTAAGTTAAATGTGTCTCTGCATCGGCCTGAAAGGTTGAGAAAACAAGACTCCATGATATGCTTGGAGGTTGAGGTACACATCTAAACTTCCATAAATCCAAGCATTGAACCTACAACACTATATAAATAATAAAACCACAATGGCAAAAATACTTTCCCTAAACAGCTTATTTCTGTCTATTGCAAAGAGGTAGACTAGGGTCAATTTATGATCAATGACCTCAAAAGCTACAAGTATATTTAACTGTATTACTGGGAAGAATGGTCATATGCAATCACTAGAAGGAAATCATCATTTAAAAATCTAGTGGTGCTAATACTTGAGATCAATATAGCAGGTAATAATTAATATGCTACCCTAAATTTATTACACCATTAACACCTCTAAATTCTTCAGAAGCCTGTAAAAGCTTCTAAAAGCCCAATAATATTACTAATTACTACCAGTTGATTACCCAACTGTGGTTGCAGACAGAGATTAGGCTCTATTAGTTATTAGCTATCAAGGGCAGGTACATAAATAGCGTTTTGCTAAAAATCGCACGTGAGTTGAATCTCTGATTCAAACTTAGGATATTTGGCCCCCAGGCTGCATTTTAATGTCTGGTAATGCAAGTAATGAACAACAGGAGCCACATACCACAAGAGAAAAATGGTGCCCTGACTACCAGGAAACAGCATCAAGCAGGCAACAAAGGAGGAGAGTCTTTCCCCACAGCTCATTGATGGGTCACTAACCTATAGAAAAATGTAATTTTTACCAGGAAACAGGCACCAGTGGGGAACTCACAAAGAGAAAGAGGGAGTCTATAGTTGTAGTTGTCAAAGACCAGCAACTTTAGCATCACTGAATATTACTACTACTATTATGATCTGTTTTTCATCACTTTTGACACCAAATGTGGGGTTTTCCACATCAGGTAATTCTCCAAATCTCTGTGGACACCAACTAGGTATTGATATCAACTACCCAGAATTAGTGCGGACCTCTCATTTCCATAATACTACACCCTACTTCAGATGCTGTCACAAGTACTAAGTGCCCAGGGTACCCACACTCTGTCAAATTTGGCTACAAATCAGGGGTTCCCACAAGGAACTACTCAAGTGCAATAATATGTTAATAATCTTCTAACCCAGGTAGAAGGCTGCAAAACCTTTATAGAGCCCAAGACCCAGGAGGGCTGTTTTAAGAAGGCAGGCCCAAACCCAGGTGGCAGCCTCACTGTGGTCACAGCTACAGACTTAGAATCCTATACACTATAATTTGAACCAATGTAAAAATAAAATGGACTTTTGGGTCATATAAAAATTACCAGAGGCAAACATAAAATTTGTTTTGATTTTAATTCTTATACTTAAGGATCCTGAAAATGGTCAGTAAAAGGGTATATTCTATATAATAAAAATCCTATTTGTACATTCATCAGTTTAAGGGTTATTTCTCTAATGTTTGGTGGTGTTTTGCTCATTATTTGTATTATCATATTCTAATCTGTCATCCTGGAGTTAAATTACTACCCTGTGATGTTTCATCCCAGGTTCATTGTCATTTCTGTTTAAGACAGAAAAAGAAACTGAGTTGGGTACCTTTTTTGTTTTCAGTGAAATACCATTATTTAACATATACTAAAAGGCACTGTAAAGAATCATAATACATTTAATATGAAATTCAACAAATACAAAATGGAAAATTGATTTATATCAGAGGCCCATTTATTATATTCACTTTTCATATGTACATATGGTCACAAAACATATGCAAGTTATATGCACAAATTATGTTAATATTTACAAAATAATTCCTTAAATAATTATTTCAATTCAGCTGGACACGGTAGCCCACACCTGTAATTCCAGCTACTCAGGAGGCTGAGGAAGGAAGATCGCTGGAGACCAGGAATTTGAGACTGGCCTGGGTAACAGAGAAAGACCTCCGGAGGCTGCACTGAGCCAAGATCGCACCACTGCACTCCAGCCTGGGAGACAGAGCAAGACTCTGTCTAAAAAAACAAAAACAAAAACAACAAAGAAAGAAAGACCTCCACCTCTAAAAAATAAAAAAAAAATTTTTTTTAAAGTGTAAAAGAATTATTTTAATTTAAAAATAAAACAGAAAATTAAAGTCTCAAGTTATTTAATAAGTCAAATCCTTTTTTTTTTTCCCGAGAGTGAGTCTTTCTCTGTCACCCAGCCTGGAGTACAGTGGTACGATCTCTAACCTCTGGCTCCCAGGTTCAAGTGATTCTCGTGCCTCAGCCTCCTGAATAGCTGGGATCACAGGCATGTGCCACCATGCCTGGGTAATTTTTGTATTTTTAGTAGAGAAGGGGTTTTGCCATGTTGGCCAAGCTAGTCTCAAACTCCTGACCTTAAGAGATCTGCCTATCTCAGCCTCTCAAAGTGTTGGGCTTACAGGTGTGAGCCACTGTGCCTGACCCAATTACTCAAATCTTAAAATTAAACATTCCATCAGAAGTCAATGGCCAAAATTCTCCTTTACATACAGCATAGTCTACCCAAGTCAAATCCTCTTCAGATACGAATTTTCCCACAAAACTGCGAAAAGCAAAGAACACAAGCACAAAATTCCATTTAAGAGAAGCTTGTTGCCTAGAAGCAGCTTTAGGGTAGAGAAATATTAAGGACAGAATTAGTCATCGTTTGGTTTAGTGGTCTAAGTATGGCCTGATTGCAAGCTGGGCAAAATATATCAAAGATTCTGCCTAATGTGTGGCCTAATAATTCACTGCCCCTTGAAATCCATGCTATTTTACATCTATAGATTCATTAATGATAAAATGATTCCAATAAAAAGATAGATTTTTATTTACAATTTCACCTAAAACAACCCATCAATTTTTCAAAATCATTATAATATTGCTGCTGATGTTAATAAATATGAAATCTCTTACTTGTATGTGGTAATTCTTTTCCTCTTCACAGTAGTCAGTTGTGCTAATACAACAATTTTTCTTCTATTGTTCACTAATGAGATAGTAATTGCCATCAGAATCCTACTGGGAACCTAGACTTTTAAATATAATAGGCCTAAAGACAGGTTTCACTGTATTTATAATGATTTTCAGATACATTTTGTTCTGTATCAACACAACAGCAACAAAACGTTTTCCTTTCTGTGCAAGATAAACTTCATATTATCTAGCAATATGTACACAGAAGAAACAGCTTTAACCAGGTAGATCTCAGGTTCCTCTTTCCAGCAACTAAATGAAAGAACAATGAACAGGATGCTCCTTTTTATTTAAAGAAAAAAAAAAAAAAACCTGTTAACCTCTCATTAGAAAGCCTTTTAAAATTTTTGCTATTTTAAAGTCTTTAATGTTTACATTAGAAATGTAACCATCAGACTCAGTATGAGTTCCAATGTACCGCAAAGCAAAACTGCACACTCCAATTCAAATACTGATTATATACAAAGAACATTTATAGAAAGATATTTTAATGTATTATTGGCTGGCATCACTACCTTCAGAATTTATTTAGAATGTAAAGATTTCTAGAAATACATTTTAATTAACACTTTCTGGTGGTATATTTTGGTTGATAAACTGCACTTGGCAATTACCATCCTTTGGGACCTCAGGTACTCTTCTCTTAAACACTGTAGGTACTATTAATATTTACCACTCAACAGATGGATTAACAAGTGTCTGTTTCTCATTCTTGGATTATAATCTTTTCTAAAGCCCAAACAAAATGTGAAAGGAGAATAGTACCTTTCATGATGTCCTAAATCCAAAAGAAATTCATCTGCATGTCTTTGGAGTTCATTTCCTTCTAAGTTCTTTAATTTCTTCAATTCACTCTGCAGGAAAAACCAGAGCTCTTTAGCTCCATTTTCAATCCTCCTCCTCAGGATTTCATGATCCTTCCCCAGACCTGCAGTCAAAGAATAGAGAGTTGTAGCATTTCCAACATTTTGATAAAAGGAAACTTTCAATTATTTGTGCTAAAGCCCAATACTGAGGAGGGAAAAACAATGTATAAACACCTACCATTTCTGGTCTGTTTCTTGTAATTTTCAATCTGTTCTTTGGCCTTAACAAGCTGTTCTTCTAAAACACGTACTCTTCCTGTAGCTGGCCCTTGATCAATGGGGCCTTCTGGTATCCTATAGTTCAGGGAAGAAAATGTAAACATTTAGCTTTTAAACTGTACAACAAAATAGAAACTCACTTTACTAAAACATTTATATGTAAACTCTATAAGCTGTTGAACCATATAGCACAAAAGAAGTACCAAATGGAATTTTCTCTTCAAAGGTGTATGATTAACCAATGAAATGGACAATGAAATGATAATAAACAAAAATAGAAAATAATAATCTACCTCAGAAATCTATGATCTTCTAGGAGTTAACAAATTTCTAGAACTTTTTCCTAAAATCTTATATCCTGTTACTTAGAGTACCACCATCAGTGGCAAAGTGGTCAATTCTTCATTAGTGGTTAGGAGTAACAAAAGTGAAGGAAAAAGTAAAGAAAAGGCTTAAAAGAAATAAGGAAGCATATATGAACATGTGTCTAAGGATATGCTCAAACATAAAATATAATGTATTTCTAAATTAATTACAATATCAGACTATATAAATCTATCTTTCAATTTATGACCTTAGAGTACTAAGTATTGATTTTATATAGAAAAAAGAAAGACAAGAGTAGAAGATGAAGCATACTGGAAAAAAAAATGGGCCAAGTGTAGTAGCACATGCCTGTAATCCCAGCACTTTGGAAGGCCCAGGTAGGAGGATCACTTGAGCACAGGAGTTCACGGCCAGCCTGGGCAACACAGCAATCCCCCATTGTTACAAAAAATAAAAACACTAGTTGGGCACATGGTGGTGTGTGCCTGTAGTCCCAGCTACTCAAGAGGCTGAGGTAGGAGGGCGGCTTGAACCCAGGAGTTCAAGGGTACAGTGAACTATGATCATCTCACTGGATTCCAGTGTAGACTGCAGAGTAAAAAGCCCTGTGTCAAAAAAATAAAAATAAAAAATTGAAGATTATTGTCTTACTCATTTCTATCAGCAACAAAAAAAGTCAGTCAATAATATAAAATTTTGGAGCACAGAATAACAATCCAAGATCTTTTACTTATATTATTAATCTCTCTGTTCAACTTAATTCCAAACTGTGCTTGTTCTTAACATGTTTTGTTTTTAAATGACTTTTGGCAATATACTATACTCTACTTTGATGTACATAATACAATTTTGTGTTAGGCTAAACAAAGGTCTCCCAAAGATATCCATAACCTAATCCCTGAAACCTGTGACTATTACTTTATGGCAAAAGAAACTCTGAATATGTACGTAATTAAGGATTTTGAAATTGGATTCTCTAGGTGGGCAATTTTGTAATAACAAGTGTCTTCATAAGAAGAAGGTAGAGGAAGATTTTCTACAGAAGAGGAAAAGGTTATGTGTCATGTGGCTGTTAGCTCTGAAGATAGAAGAAGCGGCCATGAGCAAGGAACACATTTTTGGAAACTGGAAAAGGCAAACAAATGAACAAACGACCAAACAAAAAACCCTAGATCCTCTCCTAGAGCTTCTCTAGGGAATCCAGCCCTCCCGACACCTTGGTTTCAGTCCAGTGAAACTCATTTGAGATCTCTGGCCACCAAAACTGTAAGATAATAAGTTTATGCTGTTTTAAGCCATAAAATTTGTTGTTTTTGTCAAAGCAGCAATAGGAAATTAATACAGACACATATAGATCCCTTTACAAAATTGTCCTAAGATCAAATAGCTGATTTTTCTTTCAAAGTCTATTTAAATAAGGAAATATCTGTAAAAGTACTTAGCACAGTGTTGGGCAATAAATTTTATGAAGGCTACTATTATATGTGAGCTTTGTCATTTTAGAGATGAGCTATAATCTCAAAAAGTCTGGGCTATCTATTCTTATCATCACAGTTTAAGAGAATTTAATTTTTCTTTTATTTATTTATTTTGTTAATGAATGAGAGCTTCTTATGTTGCTCAGGTTGACCTTAAACTCATAGCCTTGCCTCCTCAAGCACCAGGACAACTAGCCAGAGCCACCGTGGCTCCCGAGAATTTAACTTTTAAATAATTGGCAGGCAGCATTTAAATTCATATGTCAACATAGTCTTTTTTTTTTTTTTTTTTTTTTTTTTTTGAGACAGTCTCCCTTTTGCTGCCCAGGCTGGAGTATAGTGATGTGATCTTGGCTCACCACAACCTCTGCCTCCCATGTTCATATAATTCTTGTGCCTCACCCACCTGAGCAGATGGGCATGGTGGCATGTACTACCACACTCGGCTAATTTTTTTATAATTTTAGCAGAGACGGGGTTTCATTGGGTTGGCCAGGCTGGTTTCAAACTCCTGGCCTCAAGTGATCCACCCACCTCAGCCTCCCAAAGTGCTGGGATTATAGGCATGAGTCACTGCACCCAGCCAATATAGCCTTTTGATACAAATTCTCTGATACAAAAGGTTTTTTATAGCTTTTCTAACATTTTTTATATAACCTGATGAAGCCAAATTAACTGTCAATTACCTATATACTTCAGAATACATGCTTAATAAACTAGCTATTATTACAGCTATACCAACGTAATTGGAGACATTTTATAATTTCCTATAAAATGGTATTCTTAACATTGAACAGGAACATAAAAAGTAACCATCCTCCAATCATGAGTTTCCGAGGCTACAGAATATCAATGAAAAAGGCTTCATTTGTATAAGCACAAAGTGAATAATAATAAAATGAATACAGCAGTTAGATGCACAATTACCCAATTTATGAGTACACGTACATTCACAAATGAGGCATGTCCTGGTATATAGTTTTTAAAAGTTATGTTTCTAAGACTTGACTCTTAATCTCTTTCTGAATTAGGTGGCTGGTTTCTAGGAAACAATTTGAAAACTGAATAAAACTTCAATCTCTTGGGATTTATTTTGGCAGCAATATGCCATAGGATAGGTGTGTTCTTTTTCAGAATATATTTTAATGATAGAAAAATTAACAATAGAAAGATTATGTCTCGGTTCTCCTTTTTATCTCATTTCTTCAAATATTGGTGGAATAAATACAAGAGGCAAAATAGCCATAAAAAATAGCATACGATCTTTTCAGTAGATTTCCGTGAAGATTTCCAATTTAATTATAATAAAACATAATGGAATTAGTAATCTATATCACCTAATAATCTAATCCAACTGTGGGAAAAAAAATTTTGATAAAGAAAAGTACTAGGGAAAAAACCACTCTAAAAAAATATATAGGAGAACTATTCTTTCCAAACTGCATCTAGAAAAGAGTCAATATGCATGAACAGTCTCTTTTTTGAATACTTAGGGAACAGAATGCTTCCTTATTATATTCAACATGCTAAAGATACACATCATCTAAGATTTCCACTTCTGGCCATTTACCATCTGTCTGAAACAACTCAAAATCCAGATGAGATGTTTTAAACAATGATCAAATGAAGCTGTAATCAGGCAACAAAGGGCAGTCATCATGAGAGAAGGAAAACAAATGATGACAGCCCTATGACTGTCCCATCTTACTGCATTCAGAGAGTTTCCAGACCACAGTATATGGAGGGGAACTGCAGATGGAGCCAGCATATTCACTGAGTTGAAGAAATGGAGCTAAGAGTCTAAAAAGACCAGGAAAGAGTTTGAATAACAGAGAACTGTAGAGAGAGAACTCCAGAAATCTGCAAAGGTACCACTTGAGAATCAGCAGAGTACTTAGCACACACGTAAGGAACTACTCAGGCTGGGGAAAGAACTCTCTAAAGGATTAGAGGAAGTGTACCTGGGTTCATACAGATTAGCTAGAAACAGTTCCTGATCACAACAGCCAAACTAGAAAACAGTAATTTCTGGGGTGCTAGGTAAAATGCTCAGAAGGATTTCTCCTCAATAGTAGGGAAATGTGCCCCAGACCAAACATTGCTTAGGTCCTGCTTAACAATTCTTAAAAAACAAAATAGGATCCAGTTATTTTTAAACAACTACATCCCAGAACAAAATGTAAGAATATCAGTAAATCATACAAAAGCTTCTAATAAGAAACAAGGCAAAATTCATGATGTCTGGAATCCACAAAAGTTACCAGGCTTGCAAAAAAAACAAGAAAAGTCAACCCCTAAAGAGGAGTAAAATCAATCTATCAAAACCAACTTAAAACTGACACAGATGTTGGAATCAGCATAGATGTAACAGTTATTACGACTGTATTTCATATGTTCAAAAGTTAGAGACAGGGAAGATAATAAAAAGATGTTAAAATTTTAATAAATAGGGCAGGTGCAGTGGCTCATGCCTGTAATCCCAGCACTTTGGGAGGCTGAGGTGGGCAGATCACCTGAGGTCAGGAGTTCGAGACCAGCCTGGCCAACATCGTAAAACCTTGTCTCTACGAAAAATACAAAAATTAGCTGGGTGTGGTGGCGCACATCTGTAATCCCAGTTACTTGGGAGGCTAAGGCAAGAGACTCACTTGAACCCAAGAGGCAGAGGTTGCAGTGAGCCAAGATCACGCCTCTACACTCCTGCCTGGGTGAAAGAACAAGACGGTCTCAAAAAAAAAAAAAATTTTTTTTTTTTAAATAGATACCCAAATAGAACTACTAGAGGTGAAAACTGTAATGTCTGAAATGAAAAATAAAAAGAATCAGATTTACTGCAGATTATAACTGTAACTTCTACCCTAAGAAACTAAGAAAAAAGAGCAAACGAAATCTAATTAGGTGGAAGAAACAAAGTAATAAAGATCAGAAAGGATATCAATGAAATGGAGGAAAAGAAAAACAGATAAAAATCAATGAAAATGGTTCTTTAAAGAAAAATCAATTAAACTGGCAAACTTTTTCCTGATAAATATTTTTGGTTTTATGGGCCAGCAAGCAAAATCAAGGCTATTACTTAGATACATATATAAAACATTTAAAATGTAACAACTTAAAAATGTGAAATCATTCTTAGCTTGCCAGTCATGAAAAAAAGAGGTGGTTGGTAGGATCTGACCCATGAATCATACTTTTCCAAACCCTATTCTAGCCATACTAGCAGGAAACATAGAGGGAATACTTCCAAACTCATTCAATAAAGCTAGTATTATC